TTGGCTCAAAAGTGGTTGCTTTGTTCCTGCTAAAATTGCCGTTCTACCCGGTAAGTTGTCACCGATCCTGAGTCAAAAGAATCTTCCGTCATTCCTCTCTGAGACTTTTTTAACAGAATTGCTGTTTCCTTTAGTGAAACAGTGGCTGCTTCTTGCTCATTGCTCTGATATGGTGAAAAGGTGCCTGCTTGCTTTGAGAAGGCTCAAGATCAGACTCGCTCGCTGTAACTGTGCTGCTTTAATAAGTTCAATAGGGAAAATTTTAGTGTTCCTCCGAATTTGTTCTCGTGTTGGTCACAATGACAATCTAACCAAGAACCTTTCGGCGTTCGCTGTTGAAATGGACGAAATGGCCCTAATACTGCAGAATGCAGATGATCGTACCCTTCTCGTCATCGACGAACTGGCCCGAAGTAAGCAGTACATTGTTAATAAATTTTAATAAGTCATAATAGTATCATAGTATCATAATGGACCGGCGGGTTTCGCTGAAATGAGCCAACTGAACCTGCTTTGCTGGCAGTATTCGACAATGGTCATAAATGTGGGAAAAGTGTGGGAGATTGGTATATCTGTAGAGTGCTGATGATAGTCTAGAGGGCTATTTCGGGAAAGATGTTGTGAGAGGAAATTGTACTTGATTGTTGGGGGGGGGGTGTCGTGTTTGGCCGTAAGGCGGCGCGGCGCATCAAAGTCCTACCCAACGACTTCGATACTTGGAATCAATTCGAGTCGTTTGATGACGGCCTCCCTCTTCTACCACTTCCCTCCCGGCCGAACAACAAAATTTTAGGGAAAAACAGGAAATTTTTCTTAGGATGTGAGAAAACGTGGCACGAAGCTGTGAGAATCTAGGAGTAGTGAAGGGATGCAGAAATTCCGGGTAGGTGTCGTCTGACATAGGATGAGGCGCTGCTATGTCTTGTTGCGCCCCACCCTCCCCCCTCTCCTCCTCCCTCTTCCTCCTCCTCCTCCTCCGTCTTCAGTAGTGCCGTACAAGGCACCCAGTAACATCAGAACATCAGTATTTCTGACGGGGTTTTTCAATGATGACTCTGCACGCATCTGCAAGTGAATTGCTAGGTGGAGGATTGTAGGCGATATATATCTCTTGAATAGAGTGAAATTTGTTAATAAATTTCTTTTTGTTAACCGCTACTGTTTTGTTTCCGGTGAAAAGCAACCTGGAGACATTTCTTTCTTTGAAAGTTCAGGCACATCTACAGAAGAAGGCATTGGGATATGCTATGCAATTATCGAGAAGCTGATCGCACAAAGAGTTGGTTTAAAGCAATGTTCTTGCAGTAATTTTATTATTGTTCTGTCATCATTTCCTAAGGGCCAATTCACTAAAAAGGCACATTCAAGGCCTATACGATTTTTGCCACTCATTTTCTTGATCTGGCAGCTCTTGATGTTAGCTACTCTGCTGTCGAGAAGTGAGTAGAATCACTTCGGTCCTTCCGTACTTTTTCGCTTGAACATCTGATTTCAGTTTCCATTTCCCCTCTCAAGTCACCTATGTCAATGGCCAGGAAGTACTCTGTCCTAGTCACAAATTACATAGAAGGCCATACAACGGACCTCTATATGGTAAATGGTTGACCTTAATGTGCCACGTTCATCAGAAAATAAAGGTGCTAATTTTAAGGATTTGAGCTCGTGGAGCTATCTACATTTCCAGAAGAAGTGACTGACTCTGCTCGCAGACTAGGCCAGCATTTGCATGAAGAATCTACTGGAAAAAGGTACTGCTCTCGATTGATTGTCAGTTTCACTGTTCATCTTTCTAGACGCTGGAATCGCGTTAAGCATGTTCCAAATCAACTTTTATACTCTGATGCACATCCAGTGCTTCATGTCACATCTGGATAATAGTATCCTCAGAACACAGTAGACTGAATTTCAGGGCCATGAGTGCTGATATTTTGGTACATCGTGCGCTATGTCGTAGCGCACATCGTTTGCGCCATGTAGTTGCCTCCAGAAATGTTGCCACAGAGGAATGTTTGAAGAAGTTAGTTGCCTTCCTATGCATTACTTGATCTACAAACACTTCCTTTTTTGTTTTCTTTCTCATATAATTTTCTGGTTTTTCTCTTAGATTTACCGGAAAGCATTATGGTTCCGTCACCTTATCTGCTGATCAGTAATTGCAAGCTAGACGATTTCGTTACGGCGCTCCCTAAAATTCTTTTCCATACCTCCAAGCCTTTTATATCGCCAGGTCGCTTCCACAAGTCACGAGTTGAGTTCAAGACAGAAATCTTCTGCAGCAGTCCACCTATTGGTGATGGCCACGCCTCCCGATTAACGCGACAGGATAGCTCGAGTGACGAAGTATGAACGCGACCGGCGCAGTTTGCCGACGGGGGGGCATTTTGCACTTTTGTTGCTTCACTAGTTCTGGTTTACAAGTCTCACTTGGTAAATCTGTGTTTACAGTTTTACTCTGACGGCTGACGGAGCAAGCTCGTCAAGCCATCATGGTAAAACCTGTCAACTCGAGGAGGGGCTGTCTATATGGGTCGACACGTCGATGGGAAGTGGTTAAGTGCAAACAAAACAAAATATGGGCCTCCCCCCCCCTTTCGGTCGTCGCCAACAGCGTCCAACGAGACCCAACACACGAATGTTTAGCGTTGAGAGATCCGCAGTGACGGTGTGCGGCAACACTAATTTAATTTGCTAACTGTCTTAGATATACTACAATCACGTATACATACGATTTATTATTCAGTTAAATACTGGTCCGAAAGCAGCACTGAAAAAGACAGCGCTTTCGCTGCGTTGCAGAACTAAGGATTCTCCCAGCGACATCCCGAAATGTCCCCTGCGATTATGATACGATTTATGGTATGAAAGTAATCTGATGACAGTCGTTAGAGTGATTGGAACCCTTCCATTTTTGGGTTACTTTGGACTTATCTTGCTGGCAGATAAATTTTATGACAGGTTTTGTAGTGACAGATTTGGCAGCTATTGTCTTCCTGTACTCAGCGTGGACGCATTTGAGCGGCATGTTCAGGCTTCAAAGTTCCCTTATAATCAGGCGTTTCTTGTTCTACCATCTTCCTTGTTATTTCCTCCTGTATTTCCTCGTGTCCTACCAATCGATTTCTGAAACTTATCGCTCTGAATCTTATGGCATATGGCTTTGAAAATCAACGAAGTGAACATGGCATTGTGATGTAGAAAGTTTGCAAGAGAAAAGATTTCTGGCGAGTGAGATGTATCTTTTTTCAGATGCTTGAATGACATCCGAAAACATCTGCAAGAAAGCCTTTCCAAAGCAAAAGAGGCGATCAATTATGAGAATGAGAGCTGAGGTATTCTGCCGGACGGCTCTAACCCTCTACATGACGAGAACAGTCCAAGTGTTGTTGGTTAAGTGATAGAATCGATTCTATCAACAGGTTAGGGAAGAAATGGTTTTTTTTCTGTTGGAGCTACTAATGCCTTCCCTCGTGGAACCTGAAAGATTCATCCCTGCCACAACTCAAGCCTCGAAACTATATTTTTAAAAGTTGCCCCGCTAGTCAAAGGATGGTGCTAATTGTTTCCCCCTCCCCCGCATGGTATCGAAATTGCCAGCACCGTTGACCTTTTGAAACAGTATGGGCTGGCAGTGACCTACTACGGCCGATCCTTGTCACCGTGTTCAGCATGTCCTTTATCGAAACCTCTGGTGACAGATAGGCTACCCCCCAAAATCGTTCTGGACCAGGGTTTAATCCAGTTTATGAAGACGCTACCTTTGTTACCTCTGCCCAACAGCTGGTGGCTGGTGCCTACTGAGGAGTTCCAAATAATGGCGTCGAGAAAGGATCTCGATCACACACTCTATACATAGGGCGGAGAGGTGGGCGAACATTAACATTCACTGCGCCATCCTGATTAGTGCGCCACTTCCTCCGGTACAGTCGTGAACGGAGGCGTACCAATGAGAAATGCTGAAGGTCAGAAGTCTCCTCCCATCTCTTCACTCATCCGATTATCGAGAAATGTGCCTTTCAGAGTACTACTCTTCCGGAAATCAGTTCACATATACCTCTTTAGCTCCCCAAAGGCCTTTTCCATTTTTTCCCAACCTCATTTTGATTTTACGAAATTTCGGTCATACTTTCTTTCTGTTGTTGTTGTTTTTGTGGAACCAACTGGTTTTTTTTCAAGTTTTCCTTCTTACGTTGTTGAATCTGTGAATGTAATGCATTCTGTAAAATAGATTCTGTAAATTGTTTTTGTAGTGAACAGACAGACCCATGAAAATTTCTTTCAAATTTGGCTGCAGGACTTACAGCACAGTCCGACTTAGTGGTTAACTTTGAAGACGATACGTTCACTCACTTGTGCCCTGATGTTTGCCATGGAGGAGGGGGGGGGGATTTGTCCGCAGTTGCAGTAGCGTGCCACTCTCTCCGCTCAAAAGTGCACGGGAACAGTGCTGGATAGTAGCGAGTAGCGACACCTGGGTGCCGTCTCCAACCGCGCTGTCGCAAGGCCAGTTACACGCCGAACCATAGCCGGACGCGCTACATGTCTACACCCTCTCACTTCTGGTTATTTTCTACC